TCGTAATCTGTTCACTTCTACATCACTTAAGATATCGACATTATTTTTCTCAAGCCTTAGAAGTAAACTACGGATTTTATGCACTTATGACAGAATTGAGTAAGATGATACCAAAGAGCCGAAAAATAACGATTAATTACTTTCGATTTATTAAAGTTATTAAAGAAAGACAGAAACTTCTAAAAGGCTCTCACTTTGAAAAATTGATGAACAAAGTTTTCGTTTTGCGGATTGATTCGCAGTCTAGTCGTAAATCTCCGAAATTAGATGATCCCAAAATTCCGTAGTTTTTATTTATTTACTTTTTTATTTTATTTTATACTTTATACTTTATACTTTTATTTTGTTTATTTACACTTTCATTCGAACTATCGACAGTTATTTTACACAAATATAGCAATTTACGACACAATTAGAGAGAAATAAACGATTTTGCACCATCTAAAACAGAAAATACGTGAATTTTCACTAGAAGAGTTTATGAGGTTTATGTTACATTAATTAGAAATAATAATTCGTTGTCATTTAGGTCGTATTTATAGATACATTTCTTACCGATTTCAAGTAAATAGTATGCTCTACGCTTCGTTTAATTAATTACGGGTGACGCAGATAATCACATTTTAAACGTATTTAGTATGACAATTCAACACAATAACGACGGTTAATATTTATTCAAAATATTTTGTTCACTGCGTGCACCGTTGCGAGATCACATGTGCATTGTTTCGATTTTACGAAGACCGGCGCCAATTATTCCTTTAAAGTTTACGTTCGTGATGAGGAATTTTTAATTAGCAGCATACCACCGTCGTCAATATACCAGTGTCGTCAATAAGTTATTGTCTCGCTATACCAAAGAGGGATAATTGGAAGTTTCAGAACTTCTGATTGAAAGGAATGCTTTGGACGTTCGAAGGAAACCGAAAGAATGTGAACAGAGAATTTCTGTCACAAGCACGGGACACAAAGGGTCTGCCGAATCTCCGTTCGAACCTGTGTACTAAAATCAAACTCCACGGGAAAGTTGGAAAGGGATTCTTCAACGTCACTCTGCAAAATCGATCATTGGGATGGATCTCGTTATTATCGGGCCGTGTAATATGAAATGTCAGATTGTTCGTAGTGAAAGATTTATTTATTCCGTTTTTAAATAAAATGGATATTTTATGCGTCATTTAGTTGTACACATTTTTGCAAACTTTTTGCTTTTCGAAAATCGATTTAAAAAATTCCTCTTTAAAGAAGATCCTAAAAAATTCCTTGGGATCTGTAAGCAATAAAAAAACCCCTCATTTTATGAAATGACATTATTAATTAAATTACACAATACTAAGATTGCTAATCTTTAGAAACACTTAGAATTTAAGTGGCATGTTTATCGAATTTGAAGTTTTCCTTTAATAATTCTTAAATTAATTCTATGATAGTCCACTGTTGATTTACTGATTTACCAACACTTGTAAAAAATTTCTTTATAGTAAATTACTTTATACTAAATCCACTTTGTGCGGCGCTCGAACTATGAGAGCCGAAAATACAGTTGCAGTGTTTAATAGATAACAGAGTCCTTATCGACGATACGATGACTCTAAATTTTTTTACAATTTCCATGTATGTAGAGTGCAACTAAACGATAACTCTGGATTGTCAAGCAACTGGTGTAGAGCTGCGAAGAAGCTCGATAGAATTTTCTATAATTAACTCCCTACGTCGAGGCTGACTCGGCTGATACAAGCACGAGCATGTAATTTGTTATTCGATTAGAGCTACTCGACAATCGACGTAATGAAGGCTAAAAATGTTGAAATAAAGCTGAAATATTGGTCACCGTTCTATGGAGATGAATCGTGTCAGTAAATAATTTAAGAGGTTTTGGCAAAATGATGTTTTCTTCCGGAAGGTGAGAAGCATTGTGTTATGTTAATAATGTTAAGGTTATATTTAAAACAGGATGAAAATTCATACTGGCAGTATTCTCAAGTGTTGTCAAACATCTTCTAATTGTTTCTTGTATTTAGTTAAAATTTGATGTTAGGAAAGAAGCAAAGTTTATTGATGAAATAAAACAGAAATAGATGAATTGTTATCTTAGGATTGTTTGTATGTGTGATACGAAAAGTTAATATTTGGCAGATAGTTTATTTTCTTATGTTTACATAAAAAGTTCTTTTCATACGTTATCCTCGTATTCTTCTTATAACGAGAATGCGGAATTTTATACAAAATAATAAGTTTTTTCTTCCTTCAAGCATCTTCAAAGTTTAAAACGTAAAAAAGGAGATATTTTCTCCATCGTATTTCCTTCAATTAATATTATAAAACTGTACCACACAGTGGTACATGTATTATCGCAGTATTTCGTGAAGAAGTATGAATAATAAAAATCATTAATAACTAAAATTTAGAATTAAAATTTGTTAATAAAATGCTAGTAAAAATATGAACTATTTTCACACTAGTAGTGAACGCACCGAGGCACCGCTAGATGTTGTTATATCACGTTGCAAAACAATTTTTACATCATCAAATTTGTTTCCTATTTTAAAAAACTATTAAAAGTATAACTGTTGTACGACTCGTAAGGCTAAATTGCATATGCATAGAATGCGATGGGTCATATAAATTGCAATACTCTAGGTCAGAAAAACTACCCTGCATTTTCGATTAAAATAGCCTAGTTTGCAGGGGGTTAATAAAAAAGAATTCTACTCCAATTTGGTTTTCATCTTTTTAAGAGCATTATGCACGATGCATCGAGCATCTTAGAAGGAGAATAAACATCCATTTTCGTTACCTGTGCTCTTAGTTCGCTCGTAATAGGAGAAACAGATATATTATTTCCGATAACCACGATTTATCGTGTAGACACGTAGTGGCAACAAATCAGACGCATGCTCGGCAATTAGAATTTACAGCTACAAAGCGGAGATAGCAGCGCGGTTGAATTCCTAACCTCGAAATCTAACGTAGCGATCCCTTTACCTTCACTGTATCACCGAACAGAAAATTAGCGTAACAAATCCTGTTCAGTCGAATACTCATCAATTTTTATATAAAACGTTGTGCATTCAGTCGTCCTCGAACCACATTTCATTTGTCATACGCGTAATCTTTACAGGTAAATGTGGACAGTAGATTTTTATGCGAAATAAGCACGAGCCAAATAAACATTTTGTTCTTTCTTCAATGATTTTAATTGACTGAAAATTGAACATCAATATTCTTGAATTCTATAAATCTTTATCTAGTTATAAAATTTGATTAAATATGCTGTACTCATACGTGACGTATGCACTTTATTATTTTATTATCTTACAACGTGTAATATCTAACTTTATTATCATTGGTTTATTTTAATAAATACAGGAAATACGTACGTAATATATAAATTTCTTAACGAGGTTAAATACAAATATAGTTTTATACAACCATGTCACAAAATGATATAAAGACATTATATAATTTTTCAAGACATAACTATAAATCCACTGTATATTTCATATTTTGTTGCATACGTCCATTCACATGTAACTATGCATTAATTCATTCTGAAATATTCAGTAATTATATTATAAAATGTAAACTCGTGGTTTTTACACATATTTGACATTAGCAGTTTGGAAAGTTGTTTCAGCACTAATACCGGGAATATGGCAGAAGAAAATTATATAGAAACGTGTACACTATCATTTAAAAATATTTAAACATTAATTTCACACAAAATATTTCAATCGTTATTGGAGTTATCATGTATTTTAGATTACTACGCAAGTAAACGTTTCAACAGCAATTACAAAATGACGGAGCGCTTATCGTTTTCTTTTTTTCTCCAATCTATAAACAATTCAAGTCATTTCTGTACTTATGAAATACAGAAAATCATTTTGTATAAAACCTACATTTTTATGACACCACGAAGATTGTAGCACGAGCTTTTGTGGGGCAGCACTTTCAACGTGTAAGTGAACCTAAATAAATAACTTTCGTCAAATATGTAAAGCCCGTTTCCGTTAATATTTTACACGAGCCGAACACGAGTAGATTTTTCCTTGAAACACGCGAAGGTGTGATACAGGGAAATGTCCGCCATCCTTTTCCGATGCGATTCCCGCGGTAAACGGATTGCAATAAATAAAATTGCCGTTAAACGAAATAAAATCACTTTAAAACTTCAAAGTGTCAGAAAAACGAATATCACATTCTATGCATTTAAAATTGCTTCGAACGCAATAAATCAATTATAGGTAGATCGAAACAGGATCGCTAACAGGGCGCGATCGTTCTCACTAATTCAATGGATTAATGTTCGGAAACACCTGCATCCAGAATGAAAGATTGACAGAGATGAAATCGAATAGAAAGTGTTTATTACAATTGCAACTACGACAATTATATCGACCGATGCTCCGAGATTAATTGAGGAAAAATGATACAGAAAGTTATTGTATCACAATTATACTATATATTAACTATATATATACAATAATTATACTAATATTTCGCTGAACGTTTATTGCAGCGAATAAAATAAAACTACATCATTAATTCATCATACGAAACCAATTAAATAATTATTGATCGTGTCACCCAGGCTAATGCATTTCAGATATATTAACTTCTATTTCGCTTCTAATTGAACTGCGAATTTTATGCATTTATGACAAAAAATGAGTATGTCGAATACAAAACAGTAGTCAGATTTTGATTACGATCCAACTATATTGTTGAAGTAATAAATTTCTACCTGGCTATTGTGTTTCCTGCAATTCGCAAAGAAAATGATTATTTTCCATAAAGATCCGCAGTCTGCTTGTAACATTCGTTGCTAATTCTTCTAAATGATTCTAAATAATATCGACTGTTCTTCGTTTCACGCGTTTCCGATATGGCGACGTTCGCTCTGCCGTACTTTGTCTTGTAATGGAAGGCTAGGCAGCCTCGTACTTCGTTTAAAAATCAATCGAATCCCATTTAACGTTAACAATCGTTTGTTACAGCGCGGATGAAGGGTTCGACGGTACTTATCCAACGAACGTCGTCGTGAAGAACAATGGGACCTGCTTATACGTACCACCCGGCATATTCAAGAGCACTTGCAAGATAGACATTACCTGGTTCCCCTTTGACGATCAGCGCTGCGAAATGAAATTCGGCTCCTGGACGTACGATGGCTTTCAAGTAAGTGATTAACTCTTCCACCATTTCTGTTGACTGCGTTAGCAAATCGATTCGTGCTCACTATACTGCGGATCTTCGCGCAAATCTGAATTTTTAAGGATTTTTATACGTACGTACTTTTGTATGCCATATTTTTATACGAACATAATTGTCGGAACGGCATGTAAACTGATATCTCAAAATATTAAAATTGTTGTCTTCGCCTAACAGAGATATTCAGAGATATTTAATAAAATAGATTTTGCCGGTGTACGATGTTTGTAACAGAATAATTATAATAAAAGGGAATGTCTTGCGTACAATATCAGTATAAAGACAAATGAATTCATGCAATTTTCATTAAATGTATTCCCTTATTGAAATATGAAGCCATAAAATCGAGCCAATTTGAGGCTGCGAAATTAAATCTTTGAAATTTCGAAATATAAAACTGTGTATTCGGAACGTAATTTTAATTGGGTGCTACGAAACTAAATGCTTTGAATCTCAAACAAATATAATATATGAACGAAAACTTAATAAAAGATTCAAAAAGTTGTAGTTAAAAGGTAAAACATGGTTGCAAGTTTATTTTATGGAATCGGTTGTGAAAAAACACTTTTGTACTAATAAATGTGTAAATTCATGACGTATGAATGCATTTACTGTTCAAATTACAATGTGCGTGCATTGACTAAATCTGTGCACATTCGCTACATTCACTTCAACGTATACAATATAAATGTTGTTGATTTTTACTTAACTTCTTCTTTTGCATTGCATATTCATGTACACTGTCAATGCATAGAACGTGTATGAATATTCAGATTGTTACTGAACGGTTGGTATAACCTGAAAAACTTTTCGGCACGAAAAAGTAAGTCAATAATATTGTAAAGGCAAGTCAAACATGATATATAAAAAATGAAGTCATCAAAATACAATAAAACGTGTTATTTTTTATCCGAAAGAGTCAAAGAACAATCCAATAAAATCTTTTGTACGACGAAGTTCCCTTGTTGTCAAATCAGTCTATATGTTATTGATTCCGTGTCAATATTTATTAATATTAACATTGACATAGAATTTTCGCGATTGGATTCATCGAGAACGGAACGTGGCATAAACAAATAATTCAATATTTTTGTATGGTTATATCTATATTCTCTCCCAGTACGCTTTATTACGGTTTCGGCATAAGCTCCCGAAATTTGAAATACACTGTGATTTATTAACTTATTATGCTTGACGTGGTCGAACATCAGTTCTTTCAATTATTATATGCGCTTTAATTTCTCTACTTATATCTCTTAATTGATGTAATAATTTTCACAAAATTTACTGGTATTTATTTAGAGTCTGATCTAATCTTAGAGTTTGATTTAATTTTAGATAAATGTTCCATTGATTTATTATTTTTGCAATCATCACACACATACAAGTTTACATTTAAATTTATTAACAATAAATAAGAGAAATTTGAAAAGATCAAATTTCTAATATATTATTTAATAATTACTTTCTTCGAAATTTGTTTATGCGACTGCATTACACATTTAAAAACACACGACTTAAAAACAAAATTTCATTTTTACAACCAATAATTATCGAAATATTTCAAGAAACGTGTTTCCGATACCTTCCTTCGAGGGCTGTTTTCACCCCTTCAATGTTAACGACGGCCGATAAAATTGCGTCGAATATTTTTCATGACCTGTATACCAATTAACGGTTAACAAATTTTCTGTCAAGTCGGAATTATTAAAGATATTGAATAAATTTGGAAGAGATTTTAGCAATGACTTCCTAGTAACAATTATAATTATTTTACTAATCTGGAAGCTGTTCAATTTTCTAAATTATAAATCTTATGCATTTATGATAAAAGATGAGTAAGCGGAGTTTGAAACAATAGAAAGATTAACAAATTTTCAGAATTTAAGCATTCTCCGCTTATTAAAATTATTAAAGAAAGTAGGATAGTTTTACTCAGCCCTTGTTCCCTTGCAATTGCAGCAGAAAGTCATGATTCCGCAGAAAATATCTAACACACTGGGAGATATCTACGAAATACAAACAATAGAAGCTTGGTGTATCTTATAGTTCCATGCCGTCAGACTGGACTCGGGGACTAATTTAATGAAACATTAAACTCTAAATGAAAGTCCTAGCGAGTACGATAAACTCGTGCAGAAGTTAAACGGATTTTCTGTTAATGACACTTCGCTGTTTCGTGGATGCTGGGTAGTCTTCCGTGTAGATTCCAAGCTGGACAGGGTCAACATCGATTAGATCCTGGAATTTCCATCTGCGGCCAGTTTAAGAATTCGTAAAGACACGGCGAGACCACATTTTCACGTATTCACTGTACCTTAGCTCGGTTTACTTTTAATTTGGCACGTACTGCTCCCGAAAGGACAGCCAATTTAAATAGACGTCCAATTAAAATTACATGCCTCTGGTTTCCGGATGGACCGTAGGATCTTAATCGGATGATTACGTTTATGTGTGTCGTAAGTTAAGATTGCTCCTCGAAACAGTTTTAATTCGTTTTTCAATACCACACCGTTTACCGCTGCATTTAACCTTTTCTATATTTAACGCATTCCAATGTGTTCTGGTTCCCTCGCTCTATTCTATATTATTTATAAAGCGCGCAGTGCACTACATAAAATTGTCAATGGAACGTATTCGGTGTTTCGGTTGGAAGTTAAAATAAACAGATGAATAAATTGATCGTGCACACTCGTCGTTTAAGTTCGGTAAATCGCGATTCGATGCATAAAGAATACAGATATCTATTTAGGGAGCTAGCATAATTAATCCAGATGCTAATTAAATTACTTTATATATTAATACTTTTTTTAATCGTTCAATAAGGGTGTTAGAAAAGCGCTTGCTGAAGTATTTTGCCAATAAAAATAGGATTCCTACGAGCATATGGTTTCACAGCTACCAGTAAAGAGGTTAAAAAGTTCTGTGTTTTCACTCTGAACATTAAAAAATCGTCTCTCGTTTTATCGTGAGAGAACGAAATAACTTTTCGAACGACTCAACATAATATTTTCATAATAACTTCACGATATGGACTGAAATATTTATAAGTTAATCTCCTGAAGCATTAATTTCCTACGTATATAAAAAAGATCAGATTAATGTAAATGACATTGGCACGAGCGGAATGTTTTAGTGGTTCTGTTAACTGTAGATAATAATATGTACTTCCTTCGAGTTCGCGGAGCTCACGGTTTCGCATTACATAGTTCCATAAGCGCGACCGAGCTCTGCCAACCTTTTAGCTCGCTCAAACGAAACTGTGGTAATAATGTTTCTCGAAAACATTATTCCGAGAGGATTCCGAAAAATTCACGAATCGCGGAAGGTGTATTTCGGGGACAATATATAGGCGGCACCGTGGCCTGCAGAGAATTCACGGTAATGCGGTTTCTGGCTCGTCGTTTCGGTTGGTTAATATAATGGACGGCCATATTCGTGGTAAGATACTTCGACCAATTTCTTTCTCATCGATTCGCATACGGTCGAAAATTATTTAGGTCTAATTGTGAAATTTTTACTTCCATGATATGAACACATGTATCGCGAAATTACTTGAAATTTTCATAAATATAAGCTACATCTGAAAATGTTAGGGCCACCTTACAAAATAGCAATTGCAAAAGTTTAGTAGCTAATAGAAAAACATTATAAGATCGAGTGACTAATCCTAGCATGCTTAAGGGAGGAACATAGTTTTGTTTTTAAATTTGATATCAAATACCAAATAAGGCTACTAAACATTAAGAACTATTTTACGATTTTACTGAAATTGCGAACACACGAAACGGAATTCTATTTTAGTTTATCGACTCATGTGGATCATGATACTATACCTATTTACAATTTAGATAAAGTACACATATTTACGGTTCAATTATTAGGAACAATAATTGGTAATAAAATGTAATGAATATTATTGATTTAACGTCTTCAAACATTACTGGTCTTTGATCTACACGAATGAGAGGATCCATGTAACTATAACGATATGTAACTGATCACATAACATATTGTAAGCTAATGTTTCGTAAAAATTATTGAAAAATTAATTAACGTATAGATACAAAAATTTTATTTCGATATCTGCGTGAAGCGTCGAAAGTAACTTGACCTGCACCCATTCGTCGCTGGTGAATGTTTTTTAATCATTAAAATTGTCAACGTGAAAATGTAGACTGCGCGTAATTTCAATTTGAGGATGTTTAATAGTCTCATAAGAAGAACAATAAGCGGAATGAAGTATAGTAGGTACGAAAGGCAGTGGAAAGGTGAAAAGAGTGAAACGGGAAAAGTGAGATACGGAACAGTTCCGCCAGTTGCACTCGATTCAGTAAATGTCGGACTAAACGCAAATTCGTGCTCCCTTTCTGATCATTTCTCCTACTTTTGCATCCTTTTGTGTCCATCCATTAATGCGACCAATTATACGGCGCACTTCGTACGAAACTCGATCAAAGAGCAATTAAATTCAGAAAAATCGGATACCGAAATGCAGTGACACGAACAACATTTTTCTATATGTGCTCGGTTTGATTGACGAGTTTTATTCGAAAAATGGCAACTAAATTAAAAATGAACGGTTTCATTTTTACTGTTCAACGCATTAGGATATCTCGATTAACCAAGTCACGCTTGAATATTCTAATTCCGGCTCATACATCATACACAAGTATTTTCGCGAAGGTGGATTAATATTTAATAACTAGGTTTCATGCATTTATGGTAACATCGACTAGACGAAACTTGAAACAGCTGATTAGTTAAAAGGATTTAAGTGTGCTAATATATTATTTTCAGTCTGTCATAATTATTGAGTGCATGCAAAAGTTTTTGTCTTTCTTCTAACTTTCCTTATATTAATACATGATGTATTAATATGTGGTACATCTGCAAATTACAATTTTCTTAAACAATATTTCTTTAAAAACAACAAGCCGTATAATACCCACGTACATGTAACGATATTACTAAAATGAACTGTTTCGTTCAAAGAATTAATAAAATATTTTAAGTATTCTAGTCAGCTGATAAGAATTTTCAAATAATATCCAAGATACTTTAGAAATTTGCATACTACTTGCATACTCATACTAAATACTCATTTAGAGACTCTAGTGAGCTTCCATTAACCCTTTGTACTCGGAGAATTTTCGCAGATCACCTACAGCTATTCGAATGTATTACATAGTAAGTTTCGAAACATAACGTAATTGACATAACGTTGAAAACGATTGTTCCAATTAAATAGAATATTGCATAAAATTGTATCGATCTCAACAATTTCTATCATAATTAGCAGCAGTCACATGTTACGTCCTCAAAGAAGTAACATCCGAGTGCAAATAGTTAAAAGAAGAACTAGAGACGAAATAGTTCCGGTTCTAATCGATCGCAATAAATTGTCAACAGTTGGACCTGCAGCTGCAAGATGAGTCCGGAGGTGACATCAGCAGTTTCATCACTAACGGCGAGTGGGATCTGTTAGGTGAGTTTTTACAAGCCCTATCGAGGATCGTTTCCTGACACAGCCGAGTAGTTTCCTCGGCGTTGAAAGCAATTCCACGGCGATTAGCAATTCTAAAATCGGCCCGCGTGTTCCCGGGGCACAAAGGACTCGCGATCAATCGTTTCGTCGCGCGACAGCAGCTGCATCTTACTACCGGGCTCCATCCAATCCAGATTTTCATCCCCGGCTACACATGGTGGTAACGTTTTCCACTTCGCGAGTGAAAATTAATTAGAACTTCATGTCCCGACATGAAATCGCTCTAATTATTTCAATCACGGCGGACCCGTTTCACGCACGTAATAACGGCGATCGTTTGCTTTCTAAATGCTGAACCAATTAACCAACTAACTTGCCTGTCGGATGAATTTTACAAATGGAAAGGTGTTTTCACCGATCCCATCGACGCGGCGAGCACTTTCGACACGCCACTTGCTAATCGTAACCGAATATGGCCCGCCCGGCACGGCGGTTCACTTATTTGCGAAGTTAATTACGCGCGTTTCAACACTTGAAATCGTATAATTAGCACATTCCATTTTCAAGAAAGTATTCCGGAATTTTCAGCGCCGATAAATATGTATGCGAACGACCACGTTGCCACGGCGTTCCTCGTCGCCACTGAAAATTTCATTTTCGCTTACCACCGGCGCCCTTTTTGTTTTTATCTTCGCGTTCGAGCAGACGGCTTGGTTATCAACCATTATTTCGGCGGACCAGCCAGCGAACGTCAATGAGTAACGACACCAGATACACCATCGAGCCACAATATTTTTCTGTTATACGTGAAGACGCGACGACGGTGAACAATATTTTGTTCTACGCGAAAAATATTCATACCGCTTGCGATCTTCAGACTACGGATCTTTGTGCGTTTATTGCGTGTGCAGATTTTTAAAATGCAAAAAAGAAATAAACGTATAAATTAACGAGGTTAACGGCAGTTTTATTTTTTTACTGCAACGAGTAATGTTTTAGTTGACGAGGAAATCTGAGTTCGAAAAGAGTTTGGATGGTCATTTCACTGATATTATATTTCATATGTAATTATAGACGATCGTACACAAAAAGTTAGAATAAAAATTTGTTAAATGTTTTCAATTCAAACATGTTTTATTTACGAATAACTATCGGTAGTTATTGTTCAAAGACCTTTTATCTCTGACTTATTCAAATGATTCAGAGGCTTTACACTAGATAATTTATTTAGCAAATACACGTGTGTTACAAGTATATATGTTCGATATTACTTACTGTTCTATATTCCTACGGAACATTGTTCAAGAAAATTATAAATTATTCATTTAACTTTTGCTCCATATCAATGATTTAGTCAATTTTCTGGCAGAAAGGTTCGCAGTCTATTAATAAGATTCTTATTTTCGACATTAATTAGCATGTGAAAGTACGAATTTGTAGGAACATCCACAATATCCCTTTGATATTGTGTCTTCTCGATGGCAAAAAAGAAATACGTGTCGGTTTATTAAATTTACACCAGCAAAAGAGATTTACGTTTTCTCAATATTGATCCTATTCCGCAATTATTAAAAAGTTTGTCGTGCACGTTCCCGAAGCGCGTTCGGATCGGTGTAGGATGATGAACAACTGTTTAATGATCCACCATTAGCGCAGTTCCACACGGAATTATTTACTTCCATATTGCGAGATATCGGGCAATGTTTGCCCTGAGTCGTCGTCAGCTGCTCGAATGCGAATGTGAATTTACTTGGTTACTTTTCCGCGAACTGCAAATTCGCCGGCTGTTCATTATTTCCCACGAAATTGTCAACAGAGGGCGACGTTTAGTTTACACTTCCAAATGGAATATGAGTTTGGCAAACCTAAGAGTAGTCGTTCCACATGTGATTTACCATTTCGCTACTTCGACGCGAATGGTCGCCGCGATAACAACGAAGCGTTTGCGTAACAGTTAATTCTACAACTAGCGCCGACTAGTCGATGCAGGCGAGTGACGGCGATCGAAGCAAATTTACTTCTCAAAACATCGTAACTGTTGTTTCGATTATTCAAATTTGACAATCGACCAGCAGTTTCTGCGAGTTGACAAGTCAACTCGTACCGAAATGAGTTCGCACAGAGATATACATACATTCAAAGACGCGCAGTAATCAAAATACTGCTATCAGTAATTAAAATAGCAATTAAAGTAGAATAGTTCAATTAGTTTAGTGATAAATACGGTATCCATGTAAATAATATTTTGATTTAAGTAAATATGATTTGTTAAGACATTTATAATTGTTTAAAAACGTAAATTCAATTCTTGATTTTGTTTCTCTGGATAACTTTGAGCAAATTTAGACGAGTAAATTTTCTTCATTGAAACGTCACGATTAACAACACTAATAAATAAATAGATCGTACGAAATATTGTTTCCTTTACTGAAAGCTTTTAAATCTACTGTGATTAACCATTATTACTTATTAAAAAGTTGTATTAATGGTTCTTCTTTCAAGAAATATTTATCATTAACTTCATATTGCTCTAAAGATCACGTTAAACCATTTTTAAGTTAAGTTTGGAAACGTAGTTGTTATTAAACTTAAACGAATCTTGCATTTGTCATTTCTAGAAACCAGATATATTGTTGAAAAGTAAAACTGTTGTATCGATCGCATTAAAAATGTCTAAGAACGCATCAAATTTCATAGTTACTTACACTGACACCGTAAGTTCGCCACACAACTCTATGAAACTGAAGTTAACGTAAAATGAAGTTAACGTCCAAGGTGCTTCTGCACAAGATGCATCACCTGCTTCTGCATAGACGAGCACACAAAAACAATAAAGATGATTCACACAGACGAGTGCCCTATTTAACCATCTTATCGAGTTATGTAGTTATTTTTGTACTTCAGCAGCGTACAGCTGCTTATCTTCGTGGGAATTGCTCCAAATAGCTACCACCAACCTGAAAGCAAGCCTACAGCCGTCGATTCATAGACTTCCGTAATCTTTCTTTTGAATTTCTGTTAAAGGCACTTTTATTGCTTTCGCAAGAAGAGATTTATCGAGTATTGTACACGGATACCACACAGATACAATTTAGCCAGCTCAGTTCGTTCTGAAAAATTACTTCGGTTGAAAAATTGCTATGGATTAAGTACGAGGACGAATCGAACCATTTTTTTACACTATGCTTTTTCACTGTGAAAATCTTCTTAGATCTTCTTCATTATGACATAAGAATTTATCCATCGGCCTCAATTACGCTCTACTGTACGTTAACGAAATTCTCAAGTTTATATTGTTTGCCATTAGCTTTACTTTCTGGTCGGGTTTAATAGTCACTGTGATGGCGAATTTTGTTCATTGACATCGACCATCATTGCGTTACATTGTCTATTCATTATCGCGGATTTTAAATTTTCGTTATAGGCTCAGATAAAAAGGTTAAACAATGAGGGTTTCTAACTTTTTCTTTTCATTCTAACTATTAGCAAAATTAAAAAAAAGATGACACTCTTTAGCCATCGTCTATTAGACTAGTCTCTCTGTGATCTAAAAAAATTAAAGTCATTTAGTTCAGCTTTCAAAAAGTTATTGCTTTCTTAAAGGTGTATGAAACATGTTTGTGGGCCACTGTATGTATAAATATGTACATTAAAGTTATGATACGTAAAACACGTTAATTGCAGAACTATCGCTTTCAACTATCTGACAGAACCAATGTAATTTAGTTACTGTAATCTAATCTGTAGAATTCGTGTTTATTAGAATGACTACTCTTTCATCTCTAGTTGATCTTAGACATATTAACACTTGGTTTACAGAACAGGACAAAGTGACTAACATAAAATAGCTGCTTTCAGTGCTCCGTAAATCTATTATTAATAGAATGTTTTCTATTATTAATAAATGTTACAGAGGAAACCCACGTATCGTTAAATTATCGTTATAATTTCATTTTATTCCTTTTTGCGTTAAATTTTTGTGCAATAATATTCTATAGTTATAAAATAAGGATGAGTTAGTTTTCTTCCGCTTTTCTTTTCTTTTTTACTGAATAAAATTTGTCCTCTTTTAGAAAAATATCGTTTCTCGGTAGAATGTGAATAATTCCTTCATTGTTATATGAACTCCTACGCACAAAAGCTGAAAATATTTGGACTATGCGACGCATTGTATGTTCTCTGTTGATATTAGTTTCCCAGTCGCAGAGTTCAGCTGCTTCTTGCCGCTGTCAAGAAACTGTCTACTTCTGAGCCCGTTTACTCGCACTTGTTCTTTTCTTGCGAGTCGTACAGCTGCATATCCCTCACGTGCATTTCGCCCAAGAATCTGAAATATTCGTGTGAACAGCAGAACCGCAAACGGCGCAAACATTGCGGGACAATCTAATAAACTGGTCTCGCGCGTACCATCGAATAAAACGACTGCGAACTAAAGGGTATTGCGTCAGGTTTTCGTAGAATAGTTTGTAGATATCAATTCTGCGAGTGTGCCGACCGAGCCCGGACAGTTTTAGGAAAATTGTAAAATGGAAGTGTGTCCCTCTCCGCGGGCGCATAGCTTTTATTTGCGGGGTTCTATACGCGCGAGGTGTCGGTGTGTGCGCGGCGGTGTATGTATATACGGGGCTCATGAGGCCCTTGGCAGAAATGTATCTTAAGTGACTTCAGCCGCGGTAAAATGTGGCTGTAACTGAAGAAACACTTGAAAATAAAGCCGCGGACTCTCTTCCGGCATGTTGCTTGAGATAATTCAAGTGCATGGTGCGCACCCGTATAAAATAGTTGAGTCATCGCTATCGGAGCCCCGTCTTTTATTTCCGCGAGCATTTTTCCAACGCGAGCGAAACTGCCAGCTTCGAATATTCTCCACTTTATCTTCGTCCCCGTTTAATTATTCCATTTACCTCGCTGTCGGTTCGCGACACGGAATCTCAGAGAGAGAGAGAGAGAGAGAGAGAGAGAGAGAGAGAGAGGTAGCAAATGATTTGCAAAGTAGAATTGAAAAGAAATATTTGATTAATTTCGGCGACCTTCTGTTACGGGCTCCTTAAATACAACTTGTCGTCAGAAATCGAAATTAAAGAATAATAAATTGTTTCTTTGATTTATTTTAATCTGTGTTAAAATAAGTACAACGAAACTATAAGAATTTCTTCTATTTGAATAAAATTGTTATCATTACACAGGAAAACAATCTTCATAATGAAGAACGGTTGAATTGATGAAACGGATTTTCTCTGTATGCTTAGAAAATTATGTAAAAAAGACGCTGAACAATTCACTTATTAGCAATTATTAATCGAATAAAAAATGGAAAATTCGACTAAATGGAATTCAGTCGAAAATTATTATTTTAGATAAATACTTACAAAAACAACTTGCGAAACTATTGGAAGTTGTTTCGCATTTGTTTTTGTCATAAATGCATAAAATTTACGGTCTACTGATTATTATGGACGTTACGGTCTGGGCGAATTTGAAAACAAGTTGATATAATTCGATAAAATTTGTTACAGGGGTTCCTGGTAAAAGGAACGAAATTTACTACAATTGTTGCCCGGAGCCATACATAGATATTACGTTCGTTGTTATCATCAGAAGGCGAACGCTTTACTATTTCTTCAACCTGATCGTGCCGTGCGTTCTAATCGCCAGCATGGCCGTTCTAGGATTCACCTTGCCACCGGATTCTGGCGAGAAACTTTCATTAGGTGAGTTCACTAACTATCTTACACTTTCCAAGTATATTTGCATATTAACGCCCCTGCAGGTTACATTTTACTATGTAAAAATGTCGAAAGGCAATTTGAATTATTCAAACAGAGATACATCACACTCGACAACAAGCTGTAAACTGATCCTTCCACTGGGACAAACAAATAGTTATTTGAAAATGTTTATCACGAGATAGACAAGACTATTTTATTTGTCTTTATAGAACGGTCACGTTTATTTATTATACACAAACATTTCCGTATATTCGTTATACATTACGAACAATCATAGACAAATATTATTTGCTTGCCTAAAAGTCTCGTAGCATGTTTTAAGATTCACAATATCTGTTATGTTAAATAAAAATGTATAAAATGTAAATACGGTTCAATTTATTCGCAATTTAATTTACCTACTTAATAATATTACTTATTTTGATATGTACTGGGATTAACATTAATGAAATATTTGTAATATTACATATAATACTTATATATAATATAAAATAGCCTACTCTCTTTCGTTTTACATCCTAATTTGATCAATCGTGTTTTATTCACGATCTCAAACTATAAACAATATATCAACTTACAGCACAATCATAGAGATATAGAAATTGAATGTATCCGAAACACAACATGGGTAAATCATTAATCGTATTTAATTAGAAGTCTCGTTTCTTGAAAAGAAATCTTGAAGTACTTATCTTTTTTAAGTACTTATCTTGATAAGTACTATATAAGGACTATTTCAGCAAGACTAGCATATTGAACAGAAGGACAGATATACACTTCTAATAACATCGAATCGATTGACCACAAAAAATCATTATAGTGCTTTACGCAACTTCCTGAGTGGATATCGTGTCATGATTTTTTCGTGACTGATATCGATCGACCAGAATGCCAATGAATGCTATCTCTGAGCAAGTTGAACTCGCCGGTCTGCATAATTCCAATTCCTTGCAGGCTTCGAAGCACGCTACAACAGCTCACGTGATTAGATTCAGTCGAGTTCTCGTAACGTATCGAATGCACGGGAGATTACAGTCGCGTTGATCTCGATCACAGGCATTCATGTATCACCGAACAACCGGAATTTATCGATCAGTTTTCCGAGAATTTCTTGACGTTGCCAACGCGTTATTACATTCCAAGATTTAGAACGCGTATCTATCTGTGTTTGCTGTTCTTACGAATGCACGTCATCGAAAATTATTTCGAGAAAACAGTTCACGAATAAATTATCGATAACTTAAAGTTTTTGCTTGTTTTTAATTAATACAATAAAATTCTCAGCTTCATTAGCCGTGCTAAGTCTTCGGATCCATAAAGATAGAAAAAATTTACGGCACTGCTGACACTATTTTCAATAATCTGACTCACATAATTAAAACATCAGTTGTTGTAATTTTTCAATAAAATTTGAAGAAATCGTCACTGTGACTGGACTGCGGATTTTTATGTAATATAGCTATTGTCTGCATAAATAGCGTGGCACAGAAGTTGAATTGAATAAAGAATCACCGCGTGCATTCGTGTACAGAGATAAAACTGTCTCGTCGAGAAGAGTGCAGAAAATAAATATAGAAAACGAAACATTTTCACAAAAATGATATCGTCTTTCAATTTGTCGTTAAACAATTAATTCGACCAAACAAAATGTTCCAAATCCAACATACAAGACAGGAATTAGCAAGAACGTTTTCAATTTGGCATCGAAGTTTCCTAATCAAGGGTCATAATCCTCTTAATGGTTTCTCCGCTGCGGTTCTGCTACTAAGGAGCAGTCTGATTGCAGAATTCGTGTTCGGACGTCGTAAAATTTCAAGAAAATTTCATTAGTTCCTCGATATCGGAGTGCGCGAAGAAACTTTGGGCGGAATTTCCTACACGCGTCCGACGTGTGCGTCAGACGCGAATGCATTGTGGTTAATTTCAGTGTTTACTTAAAAAACTGTGCAATGATTTATTGGCAATCAGAATTAAGATAATATTTACTTGTCCTTTATTCAAACTAAAAAAATTAAACCTCGTCGTTCAGTGAATGTTTCCTTATTCAAATGCTACAATAACTTTCTTCATCTCGCCTTTTGCATACATCTTTAATATTCTTTCCTTTGGCTTTCGCACAACATTCTCAACACAATTTCTTCGTCATCCTCTTCTTTTAACACTAGATTAACGGAGCACCAAAAGCAGCTGTTTTATATTAGTTTGTAAAAGTAACAATTGAACATTTATTCTGATTTTTACCGATAATAAATAATTAATTAATTTTTATGCAATATTTGCCGCAAGTAACACATATATTGAATAAACAACTAAAAAATGCGTCTGTACAAGTTGGATAATCGCAAATTAAAAAACGAGGGATCCGCCATTTCGACGCATTCCGTAAACCTAGCGTTAACAGTGACGCAAGTGCAAGTAAATTTCGATCGATTTCAGAAAATTATTTCATCTTTTGTGAACACGCTGTTCTATCTGATAGACGGTAATACACTGAATATGCATCGTACGCAAATCATGAGCGAAGCATGCGTCTGGTCACACGCGTCTGACGCTGATAGAAACTATCATCTGCGTGCCGACGTTGCGTCTAATCGTAAACGGTGAACTCGTACGTTAAGCCGTTTACGTTGGACGTTTGGGTTAGTGGAGACGGTTACGGCGTAGCCAATTGTTGTGCCTTTGGATTGTTTCCGGGCATAATTAACTTGATATTTATCGAATCAGGCGTATTAAATTTCTTTATCCTTTCAATCTGTTTATTTTTGAATAAAAACATTCGGCACGTCTTATTCGATAAACATGAAGTTAATTATGCTCGAGAACGAACCAAAGGCACAGCAATTGATGACCCCAGAGTAACCAGCTCCAGTATCCTATAGGAAATCCCACCTATGCATGCGGAGAAGGTTCTTACATTCTGAATTGATCTGAGGGAGATGAGCCGGTGGCTCCGCAAACATAATTTAAGTGAATTTGGCTGGTTTCACAGGTCCCCGGGCACGCTATAATTGTTGGATCATTAATCCTCTTTTGCAGGGGTCACCATTCTCTTGTCCCTCACTGTGTTCCTGAATATGGTGGCCGAGACAATGCCAGCGACATCGGACGCCGTGCCTCTACTGGGTGAGTCCGTAAATTTCCAGTCCCCCTCTTCTTTTTTATTACTTCGTTTTATTATCCACGATACCCTGGTAGTGGCCCTGCGTGAAAATAAAGTCGGTCTCGCCGCCGGGAGGTTAGCCGGCCGAACAATGGCAGGTAACGAGATGAAAAGACAGAGGTCAGGCCCGGTCCTCCGTTCATCTATAATTCACCGGAGACGTCAAACACTGGACCCGTGTCTCGGACAACGGATAAGATTATCGTGAAATTGTCAAAATCGTCCGGCGCTTCCACTCGTTTTATCGTTCGAGGGCGTATTAAGAATTGAGGGGCTCGTAACAAGAGCAGTCTCCAGCGGAAAAAAAGGATTCTAATTTTCTCCCAAGGACAAAAACCGTCCCCGCTCTCGAAAATTTAGCGAATCTGTTTCATTTCGCGACTCCTTCGGCCGCGCGGAATAATTTAGAACGTAAGAAGGGACTTCCTAATAATAGTCATCCATTTTTCATCGCTTCGAGCACGGTAATTTCTTACAAAGCTTCTGTAATGAATATAAGATCAGCTTTCATCTTGGAAAATTATTTTTTAAATACGTGCTCCATTTTACGTGCTTGTAAAAGTTCGATCGATCCGCCGAGAGCAGTCCCGAGGAAAAAATCGCGGTGATGGTTTTCAACGTGCATTGGTGACGCACGTGTGTGCAGTTACACACGCGTGTTAATTCGTGTACTCTTTGATACACGGATACTGAAGCCTATGGGTTCACGGCTGTGCGTATACCAAGAGTTGAAATAAAACGAAAACCGAGTAGCGAACACGTTTATTTATTGTTTACAATTGCAGTTAAACTGATCGTTTAAAAACTACAATAATCACTATCGAAAAAGCTTTTAAATAAAATGTACTTTTTAAAAAACAAGAAAACCTGGTAGGAATTGTTAAAATTATAATAAAGTAATAAACATGACAGAAACAAAATATCACGTCAAAATATCATTGAAATTTCATTAAAAAGTCAACGATTATTAATTGTCTCCTTCAATCGACGATTAATTTCATCACTTGATTAATGCAATCGTCGACTTTTCGACGAAAAATCGACTTAAATCGTTTTCATCAATCATTTAGTCAAAAATTGTAATCGTTTGATGCCCAACACTGATGCAATTTATAGTTTACCCGATTATAGTTACCATGTTTCTTAATGTCGTCTGCTGTGCTAAACATAACGGAGCCGGCTGGACACTGTCCGAGAACGAAACTGTCGACCGAGTGTGCTCGGATTCGCAATTGCATCAGGGATTCAGACCGAAGCCCGCGATGGAATTAAATATTTCAGCGAGCCCCTCGATTATCCCCCATTCCTTGTCCATTATCCGAACGCTACGTGATATTGTTCGGGAAATGTACTTCCTCGTACACAATTTTACGTTCATCTTCTCTGGCGAATATGTTACAGCGGTATGTCGATAGCCGAACATTTCGCTGGATCAGATTATTGGCTGATGAATATGTAAAATTTCATTTAATTTCGAATGGAGCAATTTTAATAGCGGAATTGATCGTCGAAGCAGAAGAACACATTATAGCTTAATCTCTCCCGCCGTAACTCTTGAAATTTCTTGGACCATTCGCGTCTGGCGTGTTCGTTTCAATTCAGATTGAGAGATACGTTTTTCCAAGGTATCATTGCGAATTTGCGGAGCAAATTGCAGTACTCGCGGTCCGTTGTTAAGTCATTATGAACATGCAGTTTAATATATGTACATTTTTAATTCCATTGTTGTACGAAACACAGTTGTAGATATCGTGTATTTTTGTTCATCAAATCACATTTCATATTACATACTAAATATGCAGAGTGTCCACGTTGACATTAGCCATACATATTCTTAAAAATAGTAAACATTAGAAAAGAATAATTGAGAAAAAAGATATACTGTCTTTGCAAGCAATCTAATGCTGCCCGTAAATTGTTTTCATCTGTATTACTTTTTTTAGAAATAAAAGAGACTATTACATTGCAAACTTTTGCTGTATTTTTGCAACAACTGTTACATCACCTTTTTCTAATGTATACTAATTATAGGAAAAAGGCTGGTTAGGGTTCAACGTGGATAGCATAAAATATCTGGTAAAATTGATTTCTTTATCGTTCATTAGTATTCAAATATTTAGACACAGTTAAACTATACAATACAAAGATGTAATTAAAGATTGAAGTCGTTCCGATTTTCTTCTTACATTTTTCTTTTACTATTTCTTAGCTTACTTCGATATATAAACATTATATATTATAATTTTTAATTTCTGTGATGAAATCATTTTTTAGTATTACCAATAATGGTAACTCTGTTACAAACAAAAAATTTCAATTTAATATAAACTGAATACTAAACTGCAGAATGATAAGATATAACATAAAATAATAATTATATCACTGCATATATTGAAAAAGAACATAATGTTATATTGACAGTACTGCATTATTTATTGGTGAACTCTAAGAATATATTTATGGTAGCCTGTCATTTTAAACTGTTGGTTCAATCTAAAACAATTTATTTCAATATTGTTACATAATACATAGATTCTTCACAATTTCCAATACTTCCAATATGTACGTATTACCCCAGTTTTCAATTTAATTCAGTGCACGATTCATTTGTGCGATTACGGGTAAGCGAAATGAAGTTTCAAAAACAATAATTGCTGATATTCAATCATTGTTACAGTGTATTGCATTTCCAATAACAAACCACAACGATACCAGTTTTATTCGCAATGGTTTAATGTACGCATTGCGTGTTCGGAAGCTATTATATTTTATCATGAACGATTTTTCTACGAAACGAATGAATAAAAATGCTCGTAATAGCACGTACTGCTGTCGCTTTTAGTGCTGAAAGCGCGATCAGACCACTGTTTAACGTACTTACAAAATGAAAGATCAGCTTCCCTAATTAACTTTAAAAGTTACACCGCCCAACTTTCCTCTACCCGACAAAGACCCTCCGTATTAATGGAAATTCAATACGGTTCGACGAAATTCCGCAACTTTCGGCCGCGAAACGAAAATCTCGCTAAACCACCGATTTATCGGCCAATCAGCTGCCCAATCATTGTCGTAATTAATTATTTCGTATCCGGAACGTTCCGTGTCCATTTTTCCGTGGAAAAATATTCGGCGGGAGGTATTACAAAGTAAAAAAGAGCACCGTGCAAATGTTTTGGTTAATCCGACGAGTAAAATGGAAATCGTGACGTGTAGTATGTTTACGCGGGGTGCTGGCGGGAGTCTCGCATTCGATTCGCGTTTCGCGGAGGGTGCGTGATGAAAAATACCCTCGAAATGAATACGAAAAACACGTTCTTAGAGCGGCGACAGTGACGAATCCTCGCGAACTCGCGCAATATATTTCGCCGCGTCGCTCGCGACTCGATATTCATTTTCCCCGTTAAACATTTCAATATTTAGTATCACCGCGGAGAGGCGAAGTACACTGGCTCATGATTTATGAGCCGATTCGAGTCGAAGTGATGGACAAAAGGTTCGGACGAAAGAAATAAACAAATTGATAAATGTTACATACTATATCACATTACTTCAGTTCTAAATTCGTATCGTTATTAGTATCACTATCATTGCTATTATTGTTATAATTATCACTTATCATTGTTAACGTTATATTGTATACTGGCATCATTCCACGATCATCATTAGAGATAAGATCAATTTGAAATTCGCAACTTGTACACTTATTGAACATTTTTTCGTTCTCGATTTTTATTAATATAATAGTTTATGTTTTTGCTTTAGGAAGCATCATTTTGGTATTTTTCTCCACCTTTATTTGCATCGTGTTCCTCTTTTAACAAGATCAAGGTATAAACACATCAAACCATTTTGTCAGGAATTAAAAAAACTAGTTTCTGCATTTTATAGGTTTCAATTCGATTATGAAAATTACAAATCAAATTTGATTGGAAAAATTCAATATCTGTAATTTAATAATACTATTTTCAAACACAAGTGAAATTATAGCGAGGGTACAGTGATCTGGGGGAGCACAGTAATTAGTACACTTACCCGAAGGTAGTTATTTGGTATTTATAACACAGTTCGTTTAGGGCTATTTGATCCGGCTGAATCTTGATTGGTACCGGTGTGCGCCGTAGCAACAGGAAATCCTTCGGCACAGTTATTCTCCGAAGCTCTCCGCGCGGGATCCCTCCTTGCGGAGGGCTTATGCACAGATCTTGGATCTAGATGCACCTATGCCCGACCCGTATAGCTCGCCACCGGCGGGGCTTATTGTACATAGGACCCCCTTATCCCTGTCCGACTATCTTCCATTGCAGTCGGACCGGTTCAGTCGCTGACAGTGGCACGCTCGCTTGTCAGTAGTAGCGGATTGTGCGGGTCAGACCATTGGCTTCCAGAGCAAACATTCATTGACGTCTTGAATACGGGCGGCCGCAGCCGCGTCCGGGGGCAAACGTTTTGAAATCGTCCGATCGATAGGCCGAGCAATCGCATTCAAAACGTGTTTCATTCAATGCAAACTACTTCCTTTATGCCTGGATACGATTTTCGAGCAACTTTATTAATCCGTTATTAATCCGGTAGCCCGGGCACCTTCATTTCGGCATGGAAAAGTCGATCCCCGAGCCCTTCAGACGGCATTTGTTTCCGCGGCCGCGGCACGCCGTCGCGTCGGTCCTCGATGAAAAGAACGCGCTTCCACGCGGTATTTCGTTCTCGACCGCAAACAATGGGACCGTGAACTCACGCGTTTAGCAAATATTACCCGGCCCGGCTTCCCCGTGTTAATGAACCGCGCGTTTCGTCGTCACGCGCGTACGTGCCTTTCATATCAACCTCTTGAAGTTTTCGTAATTCCGAAAATATATTACGCCGTCGTTCTCTTTTTTTTTCTTTTTTTGGTTTGGCGAAATTTACTGTCGCGCTACTCTTCCCACTGGAGCTCCTCCGCGGTGTACTCTCCGCGATCTATTCCCGGCGAAAAGTATTGGAACACCTTTTATATCGCAGTAACTTTTTTAAAGCTGGACTGAATGACTTGAATTTTTAAACCGCGTTTTATAAATTTTCGTTCCAGGTTCAGATACAAGAGTTAAAATGCGAGCGCTTTTTATTTCTTTTTTGTCATTCGAAGTAATATCGAAATTTTGAAAGATTACAGTAAATTCTTCCTAATTGACGATCAGTTTGTATACAGAAATGGATAATTTGGGACGAGAAGATACGATTACTCGAGTTCAGCGGCTCGTTTTTATAGTTGTTGACAATCGGTAACTATAAAAACTAACTAAACAAATTTTTTAAGTTATTTAATCCAATTTTAAGAAAGTTATTGCGTTTTAAAAGATGTTCGAATACTTTTTGCCAGAGATTGTACTCACGGTCCAACACGTTATTTGGAAATGCGAACAATTAGATGGATCGTGCGGTAGACTTGAAATTCTTATATCAAGTTGGTGCAAAAAGATAATCGCGATTTAAACCATTATTTTTCCCGTTTAACATAAAATTGTCTTTATTTGGAATAAAATTCTAATATATTTGTTTTCAGGAGAAAATATTCCGTATAAGTAACAGAGATTCGAGTAAAGGAGAATGTTGAAATTTTAGAAACGCTAATTAACAAATTGATTTCGTACTGCAAATAATCTGACATTACAAATTTCAATTAAATGTATTTCTGATCAAAATGTTTTGCCGGACCATCACCGGACATAATTGCCGGCTTTAGACAATTCTCCACGCATCTGTGTTGGACTTTACTATCGCGCATGAAATTAATCTACTTTAGTCATTGCCGTTCAAGCGTCATGTGTTTAATTTTAGTTGGAACAAGTTGTTGAACTGCACAATGTTTCCGTAGGTACGTACTTCAACTGCATCATGTTCATGGTGGCCAGCAGCGTTGTCAGCACCATCCTTATTTTGAATTATCATCACCGAAATTCCGACACTCACGAAATGTCTGAATGCGTAAGTCTTTCCACAATATTTTCTGTTCAATCTAATGAATGTAGGTAACCTGTTCTGATAACTATAATTTTTTTACAATTAGTTTCGTAACAGACCCTAGGATAATACTTCACCAATTTTTGCTTTACACTTTAATTCAATAAATTTCCTTTCTTTTAATTTTTCGGCATGAAATCGCGGATTAGTTTTATTTGTCATGCAGATGCGCTCTAAGAATTAAATTATAATAGATATAAGAAGAGAAACAAAAAAATACACAAAATTATTTTAAAAGTAGAAATTAGATATTTTTTAAATTTAGTTCTTCCTTGCTAAATTTAACAAAATATTTAGGACGCACGGGTTGAAGGGTTAAAGAAATCAGACGTTTAAGAGTATCTAGAAGAAGAAAAAAGCCGATGTTATAAATCATTAAAGTATAAAGTGCATTCAATTAACAGCCTGTAGGTGCAACGTGTATAGTTCTGTTTCAATATCTTTAAATTTGTACGAAACACAATATTATGAAAATAGCTAATTATTTTCCCGATTATAAAACTAGTGTTTTAATTTTGTTTGTCTTCGAGTATGCGAATTTCCTTAGGTATTCCATCTGTAATGACTATTTACGATCAGACTGCCGATCTTTCTGTGTTTATGACATGTGCAAATTTCTGAACTGTTTGGTAGTTTTGTTTTCTAATTTCTCCTGCACACTCGCCCGAAGTGTTTTACTGCATTATTTTGACCGAAATCGGAGTCCCTACGTCGGCTCATCCATCTGCACTCTCTGAACCTACTTCGTGGATGAACTCATCGTATATGTGGCTTCAATTAGCGTGAGACCATGTGCCTGAAAGTACTCTTCAGGTTTACTTTGGTCGTTAACTCGATTCACCCTTTTGACTGACACTAGATTATTTCCTTGCGGAGATTTTACGAGCCATCGTATCCTTTGGGTTACGAGAGTCTCATAAACGGCGTTGATCTTTAATATTCTATTGCTTATTGTGTTTACCGTATTTCACTGAAAATTAGCAAAATATGACTATTCTTAGCCAAGAATAAATATCGTATAAATTCGAATAAATTCGTGTAAATTCATGCAGATTTAATTTGGATTGGAGTAACGGTCAAATTGGCACTTTTTGTTCAATATGTGAACGTGTTTCACGAAAGTCGATTTTAATCCAGTTAGTATGGAATTATCAGATTATTTATTGAGAATCCGGTGAATTAATATTCCATCTTAATGAGCTAATTGGAAATAATTTATAAAAATTTTATTTTCTTCATCAAATACTATTGAATTAGATCGTATTATCGTTACATTTTTATCAGAGATTTTATAACTATCTAATTGGCACTTTGGTCTCATTAAGAATCAAGCACATAACAATGATAAACATTGGAAGATGCGTCTCGTATAATGTGCATCTATATTGGTGCAAAGATGCATCTTGCATTCATGTGAAAGATCAAGAGATCAATGCAATTTCTTAAAAAATTTGTAATAAATTAAATTTGATTCGCATACTAGAACATTTCGAGTAATTTTGTTTCACACAATAGAAAATGTAACAGTTGCATACATGCAAAAAAATTCCATTTATTAAATTTATGATTTTCGTAACGTTATTATGTTGCACAGTAATTGTGAATGTATCCTGCTGTTATATTAATTTCGCTTATGTTACAGGATTAATTACATGTTGATTCTGATTTACAGGTGAAACTAGTATTTCTTTATTGGCTGCCTTGTCTACTTCGTATGTCACGACCGACTGATAAGGAGGAGAAGGAAACGCAAAAGTCTCAAAAACCATCTCCAGTCACCGGTAATTTAGTGACACGAAAAAGCATCGACACAAGTACTGAAAACAATACCTACTGTCAATATCAATGTTTCATCAGTGTTTTCTCACGAAGCACTATCAACAGACACCACAGAATATCGAAATGCGCACAGTACACAACACACCACTGTAATACTAAAAATTTGGTTCGATATGTCACGTAGCGAATTTTCAAACGTTGTTGTGCATTTGTATACCATTCTCTATTTCTTATGATACCTGTCGGGTTACTTTATGAAAAATACGATTCTACAATATTTGCATTGATTTAATTATTAATCCTGAATTAATTCTTACAATTTATTTGATCTGACATTTTGTGTGATCATTTCTCATCCTTCGAAAATGCAGTAAATTCTTTCTTTAACAGTAAATTCGTTCGAAAACTGTTCAGCCGAAAAACTGAAGATTCTGAGCATTCAATATGGCTGAATTTTTCATCGACGAAAAGTCTTTCAATGATCGGAATAAGTGGTAATCGCTTGATCGAAATATCAAAGGAATAGTTGAAAGCGACATGAATTCCCAAGTGTGCCTTTCAATGATTTGGAAAATTCTTTGCCGTTTGTCCGCTAATAAAAATCGTTTCTCAATTTATAAAGCGTCCACCACATTCCCTCAATTTCATGTAAATGGACCATCGCTTGCATCGATGAAAGCAACGTTTTTAACAAACATAATATTCGACAACATCAAGAAATTGAACAATTACCTGTAAAGCATGAAATCGTCACACAAACAATTAATTCGTCGATGTATAAAAATGTTGTAAGTTGGAAAAGTAATCTTCTGGGTCAGAAGTTTTTAAGTACTTTGTCGTGAGCGAAAATAATGTGTTGGTTTTAAGTGTAATCATTTATCCTTTAAAAATACTGTACACTAGAATCTCGATTATTTGGCAATTATACGATTATACGTTCAACAGACAATCAGTTTAGACTGGCGGATGTTTATGCTAAAACATCCAAATATGCTAAATATATGCAATATTAATGCAGAATATTCAGGGATGTGAAATATGTATGCAAAAAATATGGAAACTATATGGAAATTGTTTTATTATCTACACTAGTTACTAAAACTTACTACTGTTACTGTACTTGCTACTATTTACTGTAATTGACATTACAATGTGTTACGATTACTTTTTTTGTCAATTCCTTTTATCAGATAAAATTAATTTAACGTTCTTCGACATCGCAGGACATGATAGAAGCATTTTTCAGTATGTCACTAACCAACGTTCCTAAATCAGCACATTACTTTCGTTTATGTCAAGATACTCAAAAATCAAGATTACAGCAATATGCTACTCATTCGACGTACTTTAGTATTTTGCTTATTTGACTTACTTCAATAATTTGACTTACTTTGAATTACTTTACTATTCTACTTATTTGACTTACTTCGTTATGCTACTTATTTCAGTTAAAGGGGTATTCCAGCGTAAATTGCAATTTCGAGATTTTTTTACAAAGAAACTATACCATCTTTTGTAGCCACTTTTACAAGGTTTAATTATGCACGTTTCAGTAACATCTAAAAATGACAACATTTTGACATTTGATTATCGATTCTCCCTACTGATTTTTCAATATTAAGAGCCTGAAAGAACGTAAAGGATAAATAATTAATTAATAAATAATTTTAGGTCCGTTCTAGTACTGGCTGCATCTAAATTTCGAAAATAATTGGTTAAATAGATGGTCACCGTTTCGAAAAACACACTTTGGAAAAGGAACGGATTTCAAGTTTTTTATGTTCATATTATGAATGACCAACGAGCTGTAACTTTTTTAATTTTAAGAATAGTAGTGACGTATTTTTGAATTCTTCAAGAAAATGTAAAAAAACAGCCGATTTTTTCAAAGATTCACACTAGAATACACCCTTAAATTACGTAAATATTTACTTGGACATTTTTCTCTGAACACTGCATAAAAATAACATTCTGAAACTATTCAACAATCTGATATAACCAACGCTTGCAATTAATCGACAAATCGAAAGGTTACTCACTGAAATACTTTGGTGGAACAGGTACTAGCAAAACATACGGCGACCTGGAACTCCATCAGCGAAGCAGCAAGTCCCTTCTGGCGAATGTCCTGGACCTAGAGGACAACGCCCTGGCGTCCCATAACAACCTCCTGAACAACGTGTACAGTACCCCTGGTCCCCACCATCCCCACACGATGGGCCATGGGCACAGTCACATACACGCGACGCCTCATCATCATCACAGCCACGCTGCAACGCCGCATCATCAACACTCGACGCCATTGGCACACTCCTCTTATCCGGCGCACCAGATCGGTCACACGCCGCATCATCATCAACATCCGCCAGAGACGTCTGGCCCCCAAGTCGAAACGATACTTCAGAACGCGTGTTTTTGTGCCAGATACGAGCTCATCCTGATCCTTAAAGAGATCAAGGTACGTTCACGCTTTGGAATATCTTCTTTACAATTTCTCGGTGCCTCAACACTTCATCAGATTTTTATGGAATACTATGCAGGGTGTCCAAAAAGGTTGGGACCGAACTTATAGTATGTTTTACGAACTATGTCATACTGAAATTTCGTTAAAATCGGGGTGCTACACATACAGATCGATTCCGTGTTAGCGTGAAAATAACTTCTCATTCAATCTTCTTAAGATATATTTATATTTCACAAACATTGAAACGCTACTGTAAAAAAGGAAGGAACATTTGTGCATGTTTTAACATCATGTGAGATTTCAATAATTAGTACTAAATAAGTAAAATACAAAATTATGAAGATATTGCGTGAATCTGATTATATTATTATTGTTATATTATTTATGATGTATCAAATAATTCAAGAAAGAAACACATTTTTATTTAACTTCTGCTTCTTATCGTTGACTTGGACAATTTTTATTTTGCATAAAGATCTGCAGTCTAGCAATAATCATTCGAGTCACATGTATAAAAGACCAACTGTCTGGATAAAGGAGTTAATTTCGCTGCCTCGGAATACCTCAATTTGTAAACTAAAACAATTATATATAATGAAACAATTAATCTTCTTCATCTCGCATCTGAAGTTACGTTCTCTGTAATTAATAGTTTACTTATGTTAACGGGAAAAGCCCTTTGTTACACAACGTGCAGTAAAAAATGAGGTACACAAAGAACAATAAATGAAGAAAGGAGAAAAGAAAGAAAAGAGAGAATGAGAGAGGAAAGAAGGAAGTAACATAATACGTTACATGATACGCTACGACAATTTCCGTGCTGCAATAAAAGTGTAGCGTTCAAATGAAGCAGAGAAATGATTGAAATAAAAAATCAAGGATATTGCAAAAGCATTTAGAAATGAGAAACAATTGGTTTGGACAATGAAATTGGCCGTAAAGAGCAATTTACATTTAAACGAAGTTCATGACTCGCAATAAAACAATCTCGCACGTCCTCTTCTTCTCTGAAATAAAAAGGACACAAGTCGCTACAACGTCTCCCCAATCAACATACTTAATAATCGGTGTTACCAAGGTATTGTATTTCATAGGGTTTCACTTTTATGGCATGAGATATTTGCCAGATCAGATTATTTCTTATTAACTCGAGTATTTTACCGTGTCGCATCGGATAGCTATATTTCACGTTGTCAGAACTAATCCGTTCTCGCTCCAACACGACGCTAGTAGATGTACGATCGTTTAGCTCCGCGCATGCATACTTAAACTTCGGTGGAACGTTACGTACATATACAGCCAGGGAGCACGTATGAGCCGGGTCTGCTGACGAGCATGAAATCATTCCCCGTTATATGACTGTTTGTGCAGTATTATTAAGCTCCAACCAGTTCCCCAATCGGAGCTGATACGCTAAAGTCAAACACTCGAAACCTATCGGCGCTCATAATTATGAACCGAATATGAAACGAGGATTTCACGTTGGGCTAAAGGCAAAGTCAACCTCAAATGTTCAAGAGCGATTGCACATTCCGACAATCTCGAGATATCTTGTAATTATATTCAATTCTCTCTAGTTATACAAATTCATTTTTTTTTCACGACAGTGTTACGTCTTCAAGATAATCGCTAATGAGAGCTCAAACTTATAAGGGGTTCCTAGCTTAGTTAAAAAAAAAAGATTTGCTTTCTTCAACTGATTAAGATGTTTGGAAAAAATGGCAACACGAAAATCAATATGATCACATTTTTACTTATTAAACCCTCAACCGGTGATTTTCCTGAATATTTTCACATTTCAAGTAGAATCTTCAATTGTATTAGATTTTTGAATAGAAAAGTGAATTGTAGTATACTCTTAATAGAAATTATTATCATAGTTAGATTTAAGTACGGGTAAATTTTAATCACAATAGGTTCTTAATAGAAATTTAAATTACAATAGATTTTTACGTAGAAATATGAATCATAACGGGCTTTTAATAGAGCTTTCAATTATACTGAAATTAAATTATATATTTATAATATAATATAATATATTTATAATAATTTATATATTATATTATAATTTTAATAGAAATTATAGTTACAGTTAGATTTCGATAAGGGTAGAACTTGATTATAATAGATTTTTAAGATGCAATAAATCATATCAAATAAATTCGAGATAAAATAGATTCAGGTGCAAAGGATTAACGCACCTTGTTCTAACGATTTTGCATCGTGGCTCGGCACCATAAATTCTGTTCTTCTATTAGGAGTCTGCATAAGTGTAACTTTCGCGTTCGTGTTTACTCGAGAGTGTACATCTGTGAGCTGTGCTCTCTCAAGAGTAGAAGTAATATCCATTGGAGAATAACAGCTGTCGGAGTTCGGTTAGGTCAACTCTCGAGAGTAACGTTCTCGCGTAGCATTTCGAGCAGCCCTAACACACTACCTCTGGTAGGAAGTGTTCAATCAAAATTGTTGACACGATCACCGAAGGAATTATTTGTACACGTATTTCAACCGAAAAGCGACATTGCTATTATAATTTATTGCAACGTGAATTTATTGGTGCGTGGAAGATATATTTTCAAAGTTACGTAAATTTTGTACATAAATTTGACCACGTATTGCAACCACGATTATCCGGGCTGTGCAGAGTAATGTGAACGTTCGCATAACAGAATAGGCAGTTAATTATAGCGTTAGTGCTCATCTTCATTGATTTGCGATAGCAAATCGTTTCACGTATCGGTTTCCCTAGATTGAACTGTTTGCAGAAGAAACGTATTTGGATAATCGAGAATTCTGACATTTAGGGACCGCATAATCGAGGCGCAATGTGCCATAAATGCACGAAGATCCGCAGTTCAGTAATTAGCTCGTACAGAGCAGTTATTACATCGTCTACCATCTGCGGTACGCGTGACCCGGAATGTGTTACATAAATTACATTGATTTCGCGGAACTTTTGACGTTGCTGACTTGACAGTCGGAGACAGCACACGATCCCTTCGGTACAAGAATCGACAAATGCAACAGCAATAGTTGCTGCGGCTACGCATGATAACGCTAAATTCTGGAAACCGCCCAATATGGACCGGTTATCTTCCTCCGTAGACAATCGTGTTTCAAAAGACCTGTTGCCTCTGTTGCAGGTAATAACGGATCAGCTGAGGTCAGAAGAGCTGAACACGAAGGTGACGAACGACTGGAAGTTCGCGGCGATGGTGATCGACAGAATGTGCCTAATCATTTTTACTCTGTTCACCATCATCGCTACCATCACCGTCCTGCTGTCGGCGCCGCACATCATCGTCACGTGATTCAGAAACGACAGGCAGCCGCCGGAAGGTCGGAGGTCGACGAAGATCGTGCTGGGGCGCGGCTTATCGGTGCGACACGGCGAACACGACGATGACCTCGACCGCATCGGACGAACACGTAATTTCGTCGGACGCGACGGTCACGGCTGGTGTCCACGGACGACGTTTACAACGACGTTTCTACGCTTGGATGTTCGACAGGCGGGCTGGGGTCCCGCTTCTTCAAGCTCGTGCGCCGTCTCGTTTCAGGAGATCTGCACCGCGATAGGAAGAATACAATTGCGAAGATTCCGCTCTTCGTCCTTTACGATATTTAAGAGATATCTCATCATGTAGTTCATTCCAAGAGGACGCCTTAGCGAGACACGTTGAAAATGCGCCTACACGGGGGCGCCGGAGGGACACCGATCACACGTGCGCGCGCGCGCACATATACACACACAGACACACAAACATACACATATAAATATGCAAATACGTACACGTACACGCATAGCCACGCATACACACAAGTGCATACACACGAACACGTCGACGGCCATACGCAATCCTGTACACGCATCCATGCCGGGCTACGCGCGACCCCGTCGATCTTCTCGATCCGGAATACAGAGGATCGAGACGTCGAAGCTGCCACGCGTTCGACACCACTCGTTCGTTCTTAGAGCTTCGAATTTTGATCGTGGCTCGTGATCGCGGAGAGACGACGTTTCGGTAGCTGCTGAAATATATTCATATTTAAAGTGGATGGTGAGCTGACATGCATTACTCCGGAGATCGCGATTGCGTGACTAATTGCGAAGCCGCATTTGCAGCGGCTAACTGCGGAGCGTTGGGCACTGGAATCGTTTCGTTGCATTTCATCGAATAGTATCCGGGAAATAAATAATTTCTAGACATGCTTTTCTCCTTTTCTTTTTTTAAGGAAGCCTTTGCCGATATCGTCTTTCCAATGAATTTTAACGTACACGTTTTTCAATTTACGAGTAGATACTTCGAGGAGCTCGCCGCCCTCCGGGCACGCCGCTGCAATTGTTTTGCGATCTGGACGCAAATAATTCGGCGTCGGTGCGTGTACAATACAAACGGACGCATGCACACGTACACGGACACAGAGCAGAGACACACACACGGGTACACGACACGAGAATACAGAGCACTGAGAACCGTCGAAGCGTTTGAATTTGTTAAGGGATAAATCGAGTTTCCTGGTGTGCTCCACGGCCGCGGAACGATTTCTCGTTCGGCCCTGGTCGCCAGCCGAGAGAGAATCTGATCGGAACTAGCAAGCGCGCGCGAGAACGAGAGAGAGAGAGAGAGAGAGAGAGAGAGATATTGGAAGGGAGAGAGATACAAACGAAAGAACGAGAAGCTGAAGAAGGGTATACTGCTCCTTTTATTGTGCTTAACGAGAAAACCAGACGAATAAGAATACAAAAAAAAAGAAGAAGTGAAAGAAGAACATGAAGCAAACACGATTAAGAGCAAAGCGCACACATTAAGTATTCCGAAAAACTGAAAATGTAATTACCAAAAAAAAAAAAATGGAGAATATATATATATTATATATTTACGAGGGTGAGAGAGAATTAATGGGATGAAGACTCGAACGAGAAGGATAAGTAAAAAGTAAAAAAATGTACTACACACAATGAACTGCCAAGATGATTCAAAACAATGCCAATGAATTTTATTATCCGTATCACTAGTAAGTAAATCGACGACAACTTAAATAAAGAGGAAAAAAAAGAGGCGGGGGATTTATACTACAATTTAAGGTGGCGTGCGTCAGCGCGGCGTTAAAATACTGTTCTCTGTTAGCTCGTAAGAGGATATCCTGGGATTGGCGACGGTGGTTTTAGGTGGCTGGGTGGGGGGGGGGGGGGGNCGACACGGCGAACACGACGATGACCTCGACCGCATCGGACGAACACGTAATTTCGTCGGACGCGACGGTCACGGCTGGTGTCCACGGACGACGTTTACAACGACGTTTCTACGCTTGGATGTTCGACAGGCGGGCTGGGGTCCCGCTTCTTCAAGCTCGTGCGCCGTCTCGTTTCAGGAGATCTGCACCGCGATAGGAAGAATACAATTGCGAAGATTCCGCTCTTCGTCCTTTACGATATTTAAGAGATATCTCATCATGTAGTTCATTCCAAGAGGACGCCTTAGCGAGACACGTTGAAAATGCGCCTACACGGGGGCGCCGGAGGGACACCGATCACACGTGCGCGCGCGCGCACATATACACACACAGACACACAAACATACACATATAAATATGCAAATACGTACACGTACACGCATAGCCACGCATACACACAAGTGCATACACACGAACACGTCGACGGCCATACGCAATCCTGTACACGCATCCATGCCGGGCTACGCGCGACCCCGTCGATCTTCTCGATCCGGAATACAGAGGATCGAGACGTCGAAGCTGCCACGCGTTCGACACCACTCGTTCGTTCTTAGAGCTTCGAATTTTGATCGTGGCTCGTGATCGCGGAGAGACGACGTTTCGGTAGCTGCTGAAATATATTCATATTTAAAGTGGATGGTGAGCTGACATGCATTACTCCGGAGATCGCGATTGCGTGACTAATTGCGAAGCCGCATTTGCAGCGGCTAACTGCGGAGCGTTGGGCACTGGAATCGTTTCGTTGCATTTCATCGAATAGTATCCGGGAAATAAATAATTTCTAGACATGCTTTTCTCCTTTTCTTTTTTTAAGGAAGCCTTTGCCGATATCGTCTTTCCAATGAATTTTAACGTACACGTTTTTCAATTTACGAGTAGATACTTCGAGGAGCTCGCCGCCCTCCGGGCACGCCGCTGCAATTGTTTTGCGATCTGGACGCAAATAATTCGGCGTCGGTGCGTGTACAATACAAACGGACGCATGCACACGTACACGGACACAGAGCAGAGACACACACACGGGTACACGACACGAGAATACAGAGCACTGAGAACCGTCGAAGCGTTTGAATTTGTTAAGGGATAAATCGAGTTTCCTGGTGTGCTCCACGGCCGCGGAACGATTTCTCGTTCGGCCCTGGTCGCCAGCCGAGAGAGAATCTGATCGGAACTAGCAAGCGCGCGCGAGAACGAGAGAGAGAGAGAGAGAGAGAGAGAGAGATATTGGAAGGGAGAGAGATACAAACGAAAGAACGAGAAGCTGAAGAAGGGTATACTGCTCCTTTTATTGTGCTTAACGAGAAAACCAGACGAATAAGAATACAAAAAAAAAGAAGAAGTGAAAGAAGAACATGAAGCAAACACGATTAAGAGCAAAGCGCACACATTAAGTATTCCGAAAAACTGAAAATGTAATTACCAAAAAAAAAAAAAAGGGGAAAAAATATATAT